CAAATGAATGAGCTATCAATGCTTCTCAAGAAACTAGAAAAAGAACAGCAAACCAAACCAAAAGCAGTAGGAGAAAATAAATCATTAAAATTATAGAAGAAATCAACACAATTTAAACCAAAAATCAATACAAAATGTCAGCAAAATGAAGTGCTGGTTTTTTGAAAAAATGAATATACATTGGCACACCATTGTCCCAACTAACCAAAAAAAAAAAAAAAAAAAAAAGAGAGAGAGAGAGAGAGAAAGAGAGTAAAGAGAGAGAGAGAGAGGACTTAAATCAATAAAATTAGAGATGAAAAAGGAATATAACACACCACAGAAATAAAAATATTCATCAGAAATTACTACAAAGAGCTCTATGCCGAAAAACTGGGAAACAAAGAAGAAGTGAATCTATTCCTGGACAAATGCAACCTACCTAAATTGAGCCATGAAGACACAGAAAACCTAAACAGACCCATAATCAAGACAGAAATTGAATCAGTATTAAAGACCCTCCTAACAACAAAGATACAAAAAAATGGAAAAATCTGTGTTTATGGATTGGAAGAATCAATATCAACAAAATAGCCATTCTGCCGAAAGCAATTTACAGATTCAATGCAATAGTATTCAAAATACCAAAGACATTTCAGATATAGAAAAAATGATGCTGCAATTCATATGGAAACACATGAGACCTCAAATAGCTAAAGCAATCGTATACAACAAAAACAAAGCCAGACTCATCACAATACCAGATTTCAAGACATACTATGAGGCAGTTATAATCAAAACAGTCTGGTACTGGTACAAAAACAGATGGATAGATCACTGGAATGGAATAGAAATGCCAGAAATCAAACCAAGCATATACAACCAACTTATATTTGACCAAGGAGCTAAAATCAATCTCTGGAGCAAGAACATTCTCTTCAACAAATGGCGCTGGGAAAACTGGATTTCCAAATGAAGAATCATGAAGCAAGACCCTTAACTTATACCTTACACAAAAATGCATTCAAAATGGATTAAAGACATACATCTATGACCTGCTACCATCAAATTATTAGAGAGCATTGGGGAAACCCTGCAAGACATTGGCACAGGAAATGTGTTCTTGGAAAAGACCCCAAGGGCATAGGCAATCAAAGCCAAAATTAACAAATGGAATTACATCAAATTGAGAAGCTTCTGTACTGCAAAAGAAACACTCAGGAAAGTGAGGAGGCAACCAATAGAATGGGAGAAATTATTTGCAATCTGTGCAACTGATAAAGGATTAGTAACCAGAATATATAAAGATACCAAGAAACTCCACAACAACAAAGGAAACAACCAAGTTAAGAAATCGGTAGAGGACTTAAACATTTTTTAAAAGAAGAAATCCAAATGGCCAACAAGCAGAGACTTGAAAAAATGTTTAGGATCACTAGACATCAGGCAAATGCAAATCAAAACCACAATGTTTCACTTTACCCCATTTACTGTGGATTTCATACAGAAATAAACCAGCAACAAATGTTGGAGAGAATGTGGGGGAAATGGTACCCTAATCCACTCTTGGTGGGAATGTAAACTAGTAAAACCACTATGGAAGACAGTTTGGAGATACCTCCCAAATCTGAATATAGACCTGTCATATGACCCACCCATCCCACTCCTGGGAATATACCAAAGGGAAATGAAATCAGCAAATAAAAGAATTACCTACAACCCCATGTTTATTGCAGCCCCATTCACAATAGCTAAGACATGGAATCAACCCTAATACCTGTCAACTGAAGAATGGATGAAGAAATTATGGGATATGTACTCTATGGAATACTACACAGTGGTTAAAAAATGAAATCCGGTCACTTAAAACAAATGGATGAATTTGGAAAACATATTATTTAGTGAAATAAGCCAGTCCCAAAGGGGCAAATACCATACATTCTCCCTGATCTGTGATAACTAATAGAGCACCTAAAAGGAAACCTGTAGAAGTGAAATTGACACTTTGAGAAGCAATGACTTGAACAGCCCTTGTCTTGACTGTCAAAGAATAGTGTTTTTTTGTTTTTCTTCTTCGTACTGTTTGTTGAACTCTTTACTTAACATAGAGTTATTTATATGTATATAAAAATCAATTGAAAATAGATATCAGTAAAAAACAAGAATGGAAATAAGAGAGGGAGGAGGAAGTTTGTAACTGTAAAGCTGTATAGTTCTGTATACATTCCTATAGACTTACTTCTAAGAGTACAGTTTAAAAACTTGCCATGAGACCCCAAATCCCATTAAGCTGGGTGCTAAAAATACCATCTAAAGTGTTAAAGTGATCATATAGGTAGGATTAAGTGTTAAAGTGATCATATAAAGCAGATCAAGTGTCTGGTAATAATAATAGATAGAATTAAAAAGGAGAGAATGTTCCAATACTGGAAACAGTCCACACAGCAGACTCATTTTAAATAGCACTCTGACTTCAAAATCAGCCTTAAGGCATTCTGGTCTGGCTGAAATGCCTATGAGAGCATTTCAGGCATGGAAAGCCAACACTACTGTGGCAAAAAAAAAAAAAAATGTCCTACATGAAGGATCTGTGTGAGAGAGACCCCAATGGAAAGAAGAGGCCATCAAAAAAGGATGTACTTTTCTCTTTAGGGAGGAGAGGACTTCCACTTTGCTTATGTCCTTGTCTAAATACTGACAGAGATTGTGGATTCAAAAGATTACCGTAGCTTTGTCTGCTCTTGTCAAATGCCTCAGGTGATCACTGATGTCATACACAAGAGTGTTCATTGATAAATTAACAACAGGAGTCACTGTTCACTTACTTCCCATTCAGGACTTCTATCCTCAATGTGTTGTACTATGAGAATTAACTGTAAAACTTGTTCTCAGGTTGTGTGTGTGTGTGTGTGTGTGTGTGCAAATTGTTGAAATCTTTACTTAATATAGAGTTGGTCTTCTGTGTATAAAGATACTTGAAAATGAATTTTAACATATAATGTGACTGGGAATGGGAGAGGAAGGAGGAGGTGGGGTGGTATGTGGGGGTGGGAAGAATCACTATATTCCTAAAATCCTATGTTTCTTAAGGAAACATCAATAATTATATCATATGCTTGAAAAATGTGGTTTTAACTTAAAACAAACATTCATGACAATTTGCCAGTTGTGGAGGTACAAAGCACAGATTTCTTTTAGGATGTGAGCACTTATTAAATTTACCTTTTGTGTTTCTTGCATCCATAATATCCATTATGCAAGCCTTGCCCCAGATCACATGAGCATGAAAGCAATGGAGCTGATATTTGACTCCAGGTTAGGTAGGCACAGAATCTGTATTCTTAAGTACTGGGTTGTCCTATGTAGATCTGATGAGCAACGAGTCTCCCAAGAGTATCCATTGTGCAGAAAGCAGCAGTCAACATATCTGACAGAGGCACAAGAGGGCATTGGTTGTGGGGAAGTACAATAGCATTATGTTAACTACAACAGCTAACTTAATGATATCAAAAATTCTTATTCAAAACCATAGAGATGGCCGGCACTGTGGCTCTCTTGGCTAATCCTCCGCCTGCGGCGCCAGCATCCCATATGTACACTGGGTTCTAGTCCTGTTGCTCCTCTTCCAGTCCAGCTCTCTGCTGTGGCCCAGGAGGGCAGTGGAGGATGGCCCAAGTGCTTGGGTCCTGCACCCACATGGGAGACCGGGAGGAAGTATTCGGCTCCTGGCTTCGGATCGGCACAGCGCTGGCTGTAGTGGCCATTAGGGGAGTGAACCATTGGAAGGAAGACCTTTCTCTCTCTCTCTCTCTCTCTCTCTCTCTCTCTCACTGTCTATAACTCTCTCTTTGTCTCTCTCACTGTCTAACTCTGCCTGTCAAAAAATCAAAAAAATCAAAAAAATCAAAACCATAGAGATACCAAGTCTTACCATATGAGTGGCTAGAATAAAATGATAGGAGTCGGTTTTATGGCATCTTTTTATCTGAGAATGTGCACCTTGATTTAGTCCATATTTTGGCTATTGTGACCAGTGCTGCTATAAACATGTTGGAACATGTATCTCTTCAATACAGTATGTTCGTGTCTTTTTGGGTATATTCCCAGTAGTGAGATTGTTGGAACATAGGGCCAGCCTATTTCTACATTTTAAATAAATCTCCATGCTGTTTTCCACAGTGTCTGCACTCATTTACGTTCCCTCCAATTATATACCACCATAGTTTTAATGATTTTTAACTGTTTTAAAAATTTCCTTTATATAGGTGAGTGTGGGGAGCAATCCGGATTGGACTAAGTTACTGGAATTAAGATTTATTCTATGCATCTGCTCTCCCACAATATGGCGCTGGGAGAGAAGTAAACAGCTTCTGCACAGCTGCCTCCAGTTCAACCAATAAACTGTAGGACCTGCTCCTGATTGGAGGAGAGCAGCGTGCTCGGCGTGTGGGCAGCCGAGTTGGGATTGGTGGAAGAGGACTATAAAGGAGGAGAGAGACGGCATGCACCAGGAACATCTAAGGGGAACATCTAGCTGAAGGAACACCCGTGCAGCCCCCGAGAAAGCCGGCCGGCGGTGTGCCGCTCCCCTGCGGAAGTGGGGAATGTGGCCAGGGGGAACTGCCCTTCCACGGAGGTGGAAGGGATAGTAGCCAACCCGGGAAGAACCAGCAGCAAACCCGGGGAGGGCCGAGCAGACGAAAGAACAGCGCAGGGTCCTGTGTCGTTCCTCCACGAAGAGGAGGAACGACAGGTGAGGTTGAATATGTTTTCACATAATTATTATTTGTCTTCCTTGCCAATTTTCCTTCTGCACAATAGCCTTTTTACTTTTTATTTGTTGAAAACTTTGTTTACTAGAGCATTAAGCTATTGCTATAATGTAAATTAAAAATAAATTTTCTCAAAAATAGTAACTAACGTATTAAGTTGAAAAAATTAAATAAAATCCAAAAAGGAAACAATGAATTAATATGTTGACATATGTAAAATGGAAGTCATATAAAATCATTATAACATTTAAATTGAAATAGCTAAAAGGGAAAAATGTGTACAACATGTAAATGTCTTCTACCTGTACCACATAAAGTGCTTTTATAAAAATTAAGGAAAAGCAAAAGAAATACACATTGCATTAAACAATACATTTACTTAATTAAAAATGCACTTTTAAAACATATAAACATAACTAAAAATAAGTTTAAATTCATATATAATGAAATATTATTTTACATAGATTGAAAAAGGAATGATAATCACTCTTGTTATACTTATAAATAGAATTCTAAAGTTTACTTAAATTTTAAAACTCATGAGAATTTCCTTGAGATTAAAAAAGAATGCAGAGAAACTAACAATATCTCTTAGAAAAAGAGAAAAAGACACATTCTTAGAAAGTTTTATCTATAACTTTCTATAACTATTTCAGTAAGAAATTATCCTATGGTAAAAAAAAAAGTGATGTTAAAAATCTAGTGCATAAGAATATCTGTGATTGTATTATTTAATTTTACCAAAAGTAGCTAAATTATACTGGCCCTGAATAGGATACGCAACCAACACATTATGGTATAGCCACGTGATTGAAATTATGTAGCCACTAACTCATAATTTCAACTAATTTAATTAGAAAACTTTTTAAGTAATATTTATTTATTGAGGCTGGCACTGTGGTGTAGAGGGTAAAGCCACTGCCTGCTTTGCCTGCATCCCATATAGGCACCAGTTCAAGTCCTACCTGCTCTACTTCCAATCCAGCTTTCTGCTATGGCTTGGGAAAGCAGTACTTGGGCCTCTGCACCCACGTGGGGGACCTGGAGGAAGCTCCTAGTTTTGGTTTGGCACAGCTCCGGCCACTGCGGCCAATTGGGGAGTGAACCAGCGGATGGAAGACCCTTCTCTCTCTCTGTCTCTCTGTCTCCTCTCTGTGTGTAACTTTGACTTGCAAATAAATAAATAAATCTTTTTTTTAAAAAAAGATTATTTATTTTTTGGAAGGTTAGATTTACAGGGAGAGACAGAAAGTGAAAGACAGATCTGTGTGCTGGTTCATTCCCTAGATGGCTTCAATTAGGCCAGAAAAAGCCAGGAGCCAGAAGCTTCATACTAGTTTTCCACTTGGGTGGCAGGGCCCAAACACTTGGGCCATATTCTGCTGCTTCTCCCAGGTCATTAGAAGGGAGCCGGATTGGAAGTGGAGCAGCTGGGACATTCATTTGGGTTGCCGGCCTCACAGGTGGTGGCTTTACCCGTTATGCCACAATGCTGGCCCCTGTGAGAAAACTTAATGTACACAATTCCAGTTAAGTTCTATGCATATGCATACCCACCACAGAGCAAAGCATGTTTATAAAAACACATATAAATTGGAAAAAAGTATACAAAATGTTTATGGTGATCGTCTCTAGTTAATAGTATCACCAATAATTTCTATTTTCTCATAGGTTTTAAATATTTTCTAAATTTTCTATACTGTACCTATTTACCTTTGTAAGTAGGAACTGAATTATTTAAATAAAAACATAGGATATATTGAACTGAAGATATTGCATAGGTATTTGTAATTAAGTAATAAATATTCAATCAACAAACTTCTGTTGAACATTTATTATGTCCCCAGCATAATTCTAGGCCCAATGGGGCACGAACTATCTGCCCTGTAGAGTCTTACAACCCAGTAACAAGCCTCACAGAAACATCTTCCCCAGGCTCTGCTGCCAAGAAGAGTATGTTTTAGGGACTCAAAGCAACTAGCATGAGTGGAGAATCAGGAACCACGTGTTTTCATCAGGACTCCTCCAACTCAGAAAGTCTCCCCTTGTGTGTGAACGTGGGCTAGCTCTGAACCACTCACAGGTAAACCGTACTTGTGTGTTAGAGTGGCCAGGCATCTGATGGCACCACAGAAGATGTGGGTGGCACAAGTCCAGGTTCTTTGTCTTTCCTGGAACTCTATTTCCTAGAGATTGTACTCCTCCTGTTTCTCCAAAATTTGCCATTTCAGCTGTCTATATTTTTATGGAAGATCCATAGCTTTTCTCTTGCATAGTTTGGGCAAATTCATTAGTAGTCTTAGATCCACAAAGGCATGCCTATTTACAGCCAATGAGGGAAGATATTTATTCTATTGGCTCTGTCATTTAAACAAATTCAGTTTATATTCACATTCTTTCATCCACTTTAGATTCTAAATTTCTGGAGGATTGGGGCCCCTACGGGCGACTCTGAAATTTGTATAGACACTAACTTGAACACATTAATTCTTAATAAAGGCTCCATGCTTCAAGATGATTAACACCAGGTTCCTCAGTACATGGTAAAGAACTGTGCACATTATCTGATTAACGACTTACCTAGGGTGCTGTATAAATATGTTCTGACAAACTTGTCCATACATGCTTTGTTAGCCATGCTGAAAATCATGTTTCCAGACTATTTACACAAAATAAAGCTGACGCTGAAAAAAAAAAAAAAAAAAAAAAAGAGTGAGTTATTCTTGGTTGAGAGAATGCGTATCCTTTTATAGGAGCCTCTCTTACTGCAGGGCACAAAGTAATTATAATGTACGGCTTTCCTTATCGTGGGACCATGGTCCCCAGCCAGAATATTATCAGGGGTAGGTTATTTTTACATCAAAATTTACATTGACCCTGTGAAGAAATGCTTATAGAAGCCCCATGTTTTATTTACTCCTTTTTCCTTGCTAATAAAAAAGGATCTTGGCTATTGAGCACATGCATCATTTTGTTTAATTAAGACACATGCCTAGGTATTAAGATAGCTAAGAAAGATATCAAAATATACATAGAGCTCAGAAGATAATCATCACCTGATTTCTGCAACATTTTAAATCTTTTAGAATATCAAAATTCCTCTTGAACTTTTACAAACATTTTCCTGGACCCATTTCCACAAATTATAGTTTCAGTAGATTTGACTTGAACCAAAACAAACAAAAGTAAAAAAAAAGCTCAACTTACATGAATGATTCTGATATGCCCTAAAGACAGAAACCACTATCTTAAGATGTATTAGTAAATCTTCAATGATTTTAAAAATGATATCAGAAAATTAATATTTCATATAACAGGGCTTTTCATATTACTTAAGTATAACAGTTGAATTCAATTCAGTTAGTATTTCTGAAGTAGCTATGATCTACAAGTCATCTTGCTGTGATTGAGGGAATAAAAGACACAGTAACAAAAAATAGCTATTGCACAATTACCTCAATAATTAAATTCCAAGGAAGAATCTGGTAGGACCTATAAGAGATGGAAAAGATACTATCTTTATAGCACCTTTTTAAACTTGAAGGAGAGAGAGACCTTATAAATCTCATAAAATAAAGAAAATCATATTAAATGAAGACTATTTGAGACAGACTTTGAGAGTTTGATGGGAATTTGACAAGCTTATGTTGTAGGATGGAAAGGGCAGGACATTCAGAAGTAGGCAATTGGTCAAACTGGCTGGAACTTAAGTAGAACAAATAAAATGAGAAAGTTTTTTGGTAAATTAATTCCATAGGCAACAACCAAAACCATGGAAAAGAAAGAAATTCCTTTACTACCAAGGAACTTAATATAAATCCATTTATGAGACAACTCAGGAAAAAAGTAATAGTAAAAAAAAATAAAATGAACTAGAAAAAGGAGATTGTTGAGTTAAAGAAATAAAACAGGGAACAAAACAAGAGTAGGAAAAATATATACATTAGAAATTATAATAAATGGAACACTATGCCTAAAGTTTCATAATTAAATAAAGCTTGAGATACAAAGATCACTGCAGAGGACAAATATAAAAAATTAAAACATTTGGACAAATGATGCCATGTTTCATTAAATTGAAGGTGGCATTAATTGTAAGATAGGCCCTCACCTTAAGCAATACTGAGTGGAAAAAAGTGCTGTCCATCACACTACGACACGATGGTATCTTATTTCTTAGAATCATCATTTTCACCAAAGAAACTCCTTTAATCTTAGAAATAGGTGGTTTTTTTTTTTTCTCACATAGCATTCTGGTGCATCCAAAAAGCGTAACATAAACATGATATATTAAGTAAGGCATTCCTAGATCTTCAGTATCCAGTTAATTCTGAATTGCTTTTCTACTCAAAGCCATTGATGTCTGTGTTTTCCCATTAACCATCTCAGTAACCCAACATAACACAGGATCATCTAATTCTGAGCATTGTGCTTGGTAAGAAGACATGTCATTGGCTGATTCTACCATTGATGAGTATTTTTTTTCAATAATAATCCAACATACAATTAGGAATGTTAGACATACCTGGATAAAAACTTCAAAGAATAGATTTTCAAAGGTGTATTCAAAATTGTAAGGAAAAAGTACTGATGAAATATGGTATATTCTGTACCAGAGGAATAAAATTTATAATTTGTGTGTGGGAGAAAAACTGATTACATTTATATAGCTCTGAAGTTGGTTGTGCAGAATATAATTGAGGGACGTTAGACTGAGACAGATTGCCAGAGTTCATAGTTCTCCCAGTTACCAGGCATTGCTGCACTATGTGTCTGAGGATAAAAATAGTACATGTCATAGGGTTGTCTTGAGGACTAAGCAACTGTCAGTAAATGTGTTCAATAACTTTCAGGTATCACTCCCACAAAAAAACAGTCAATCAGAGTTATACTCTAGATGATATGGAATAATGTGGATGGGCTTTAGTCTCTCAATTAAAACTAAAAAATAGGATAAATGATAAGAAGCCAATGTGTTCAAGACATTAGACACCAGAGAACAAAACAGGGATCGCTGGGTCTTCTAAGAATGGATCCTGTAGTTGCCTCTTTTTTTCTGCCTGGGGAGAGTTTACAGGCTAAAGGGCAGGTGAGAGGACGCCAGGCAGAGCCCAGTGGTTTCTGAAGGCTGAGCTGATGGAGATGCATATCCAGGAAGGGCCAGGTGCTTATATTTCACAGGGCAGAGTGCCAGAGAAGACAGAGCTACACAGGTAGCAAGCTGAGCAGATTTATGGAGGCCCCTTCAGTCTCCACTTGAGCATAGAGAGCTGATACACAAGTCTGTGCAGAAGTTGCCTGGGGCCAGGCAGAAAATCAGCTGGAAGGGTTAGAGAACATGATTTCTGAGTTTCCCAAGAGCCAGAATGGAAAACTTCCTAATTCTTGGGACATCTAGTGGGATAGTCAGGTGCCCCCAAAGTACATGAGAAAGAAAGAGCTCTAGACTAAGTGCGGCTCGGTCCAACTTAGCAAAGACTCAAACCCATTAGGAGACGTGTCTGCAAATCTTTTGCACATTTCATTTCTTTCAGCCAGGTTTTGTTGTTTTGTGTTATTGAGTTTTTTAAAATTTTATTTAAGTTATACAAATTTTGTGTATTTCCTATATACGGATTTAGGAACATAGTGACACTTCCCACCCTATCCTCCCTCCCACTCATGCTCCTACCCTTCTACCTCCTCCCTGTCCCATTCCCACTCTTAATTTTTACAAAGATCAACTTTCAGTTTACTTAATGATCATAAAGTTAACCCTATACTAAGTAAAAGAGTGTAACAAACAATATGAAGAAAAAAAAAAAAACAGCTGTTCCTCAACAAAAGAGACGAGGGCTATAAACAATCATTGAATCTCAAAATGTCCATTTCACTCCAGTACATTACATTTTAGGAACTCTATTTGTTACGTTGGATCAGGGAAAATATATGGTATCTGTCTTTTTGAGACTGGCTTATTTCACTAAGTATAATGATTTCCAGATGTGTCCATTTTGTTGCAAAATACAGGATTTCATTTTTTTTATAGCTGAGTAGTACTCCATAGTGTATGCATACCATAACTTCTTTATCCAGTCAGCAGCTGATGGACATCTGGAGTGATGCCATGTCTTAGCTATTGTGAATTGTACTGCAATGAGCATGGGGGTATAGATAACTCTTTCAGATGCTGATTTATTTTGGTTTTGGGTAAATGTTATTGAGTTTTAGAGTTCTTCGTATATTCTTGGTATAAGATCTTTACCAAATGTGTGGTTTGCAAATATTTTTTTCAGTCTGACTTGTATTTTTATTTGCTAAACAATGTGTTTCAAAGAGTAGGAGTTCTTATTTTGATAAATTCCAGTTTATAAATATAGGCACACACAAGTATCTGTAGAGCTTTATTTGTAATAGGAACAAAGTGAAAACAATGCAAATGCTATGAAACAAGTGAAGGAATAAATACATTTTGGAGTGGGTATTTGGCCTAGTGATTAAGATACTGGTTAAGATACCTACATTATAATGATCCCACATTAGAGTAGAATGCTTGTGTTAAAATGCTTCTGTCTCTCAGAAAAAGTTAAATTTAATAAATAAATTTTTCTATATGCATACAATGAAATACTATTCAGTAATGAAAAGGAATGGATACTACAACAACATATATACAGCAACAAAGATGAGTTCCAAAATACTTTTGCTAAGTGAAAGAAGTCAGACCACACCCTTCCATAAAAAAGTACATACCATGTGATTGTTTTTATATACAACTCCTGGAAAATTTGAGCTAATGTGCAGTAATGATTTAAAAGTGGATGATAGGCTGGCGCCGTGGCTCAATAGGCTAATCCTCCGCCTAGCGGCGCTGGCACACCGGGTTCTAGTCCCGGTCGGGGTACCGGATTCTGTCCCGGTTGCCCCTCTTCCAGGCCAGCTCTCTGCTGTGGCCCAGGAGTGCAGTGGAGGATGGCCCAAGTCCTTGGGCCCTGCACCCCATGGGAGACCAGGAGAAGCACCTGGCTCCTGCCTTTGAATCAGTGCGGTGCACCCACTGCAGCGCGCCAGCCGTGGCGTCCATTGGAGGGTGAACCAACGGCAAAGGAAGACCTTTCTCTCTGTCTATCTCTCTCACTGTCCACTCTGCCTGTAAAACAAAACAAAACAAAAAAAAGTGGATGATTACAAATCATCGCGTATCTGATGACTGTTATATACTGACCCAGTACTATTAGAATGTGAGTTCCTTGATTCAGTCTGATACCTGAAAATGGTGTCCCCAGGGAAAGGACATCTGTACTGAAAAAGAGAAAAGCCTGCTTTGTGAAGAGGAATCAGAAGAGGGCTTTTGGAAGAAAGAGAATGTGTAATGAGGTTCTGTCTTACGGTAAACTAAAGTCTGCTTCAAAGGAAATGGCACCAGATCTAGGAAACTCAATTCAAATATTTAAGGGCTTGGCCACGCCACACTAGTAAGTGGCAAACACTAGACAAAACCTAAACAGCTCTCTTCAACCTATGGGATCCTAAAAAGTAAAAATAATTTAACCATATGAATTGTAAATGGAAAGGGTCATAGAGATATACATGCAGAAGTCTTGCTTTTTAAATTACTTCCAATGGTCTACTAGTTTCTTACTGGATAGAAGTCCAACAGATTTGCCTGACTGCAACACCTTCACCATTCACTCACTGCCGACTCCTGCGTGTATTACTAGGCTTCTCTTCTTATGCTCTTTCCAGTTATATTGAATGATTTCCAGCTTTCAAATATGTTACTGCCCTCTGCTCCCTTTGCCGGAGACTTTGCCCCCACCTTGCCCAAGAGGCCAACAAATCCAACCCCTTCTCTATGAAACGCCTGGTATGTGAAACAACCTGGGCCCAGGTTTGATCCTGTCCTATGACCAGGCTGGAGGGTGGACCCCGTCAAACCTGCCCCTCATCTCTGTCAGGGCCCTCCATCATTTTCAAGCCTTGAAATAATGATGAAAAGTTTGAAAGCTGTGCACCTGAAAATGGCAGCCTGTCCTGAGTTGCTAGGCCACACTGAAAGTGGGCCAGCGCTGTAGCATAACAGGTAACGCCACCGCCCACAGTTCCGGCATCCCTTAGGAGTTCCTGCTAATGTGCCTGGGAAAGCAGTAGAAGATGGCCCAAGTCCTTGAGCCCCTGCACCCAGGTGGAACACCTGGAAGAAGCTCCTGGCTCCTGGCTTCAGATCGGCCCAGCTCCAGCCATTGTAGCATTTGGGAAGTGAACCAGCAGATGGAAGACCTTTCTTTCTCTTTCTGCCTCTGCCTCTCAGTAACTGTATTTTAAATAAATAAATAAATAAATCTTAAAAACAGAAAAAGAAAAAGAAAGCTCTTGGGAGAGAAAGAACATTTGGAAGACTTGAATTCACACTGTTAAGAAGTGATTTTCAAGTGGTGATTGTTAGGAGTGGAGCCTTTTATTTCATGTGAAACATTAGAAATCCAACATACAGTGCAGATTAAAATAGGACTTCATAATGAAAAGATGATCTATAATTCTGCGTTTGTAAGGAACATTAATAAAAATAATGAGGCTGTTGAGGGAACACTGAATGCTGGTCCCTAAATTCACTTTTGTGTATGTGCTTTTTAATTATAATCTTATTAAAAGTTTTAAATATGCTTTGTAAGAAGCCACTCTAACACTTGCAGATCCTGAAGCGGTCTTGAGTCTGGCTTGAAAATGACTGCCTTAAGCCAGGAGGAGCAGGGCTTAGACTGGAATCAATGGGCATTCAGGGAATTCAGTGGTGTTGTTTGACT